TTTTTTTGAGACAGAGTTTTACTCTTGTTGCCCAGGCTGGAGTGCAATGGCGCAATCTCGGCTCCCTGCAACCTCTGCCTCCTGGATTCAAGCAATTTTCCTGCCTCAGCCTCCCAAGTAGCTGGGATTACAGGCATGCACCACCATACCCGGCTAATTTTTTGTATTTAGTAGAGATGGGGTTTCCCATGTTGGTCAGGCTGGTCTCGAACTCCTGACCTCAGGTGATCCACCTGCCTTAGCCTCCCACAGTGCTGGGATTACAGGTGTGAGCCACTGCGCCCGGCCAAGAGATATATACTTATAAAGTGGATGAGTTCTGTGCAGGGGAAGAGGACATATAGCAGTGAGAATGAAGTGTGGGAGTGTGACCCAGTTGGGGAGGTCGGAAAAAGTGTCCCTGAGGGAGTCAGCTGTCACAGAGGGCAGGGACTAGCGTACTAGGTGGCAGAAACCGCATGTGCAAAGTTCCTATAGCACAATAGAGCAAGGCTCCTATGAATGGATGGAGCCTGGAAAGAAAAGAAAGGCTGGGAGGCTGGAAGCCTGAAAGGTGAGACTGAGGCAGTGATTCTTCATCTCAAGCACACATTAGCATCACCTGGAGGAATGGGGGCACTTTTAAAAACTCAGATTCCTAGGCCGGGTGCAGTGGCTCATGCCTGAAATTCCAGCACTTTGGGAGGCCAAGGTGGGCAGATCACCTGAGGCCAGGAGTTTGAGACCATCCTTGCCAACATGGTGAAACCCGGTCTCTACTAAAAATACAAAAATTAGCCGGGCATGGTGGACGGGGCACCTGTAATCCCAGCTACTCAGGAGGCTGAGGCAGGAGAATTGCTTGAACCCGGGAGGTGGAGGTTGCAGTTAGCCGAGATCAGGCCATTGCACTCCAGTCTGGGTGACAAGAGCAAAACTCCATCTCAAACACACATACACACACACACATAAACACACACCCCTCAGATTCCTGGGTCCTGCCCCTAGAATTTCTGATTCAGTGAGTCTGGGGTCCGGTCTCGGAATATGTTTTGTTTTTGAGACAGGGTCTTGCTTTGTTACCAGCCTGGAGTGCGGTGGCATGATCATGGCTAACTGCAGCCTTGACCTCCTGGGCTCAAGCCATCCTCCTGCCTCGGCCTCCCAAAGCGCTGGGATTATAGGCATGGGCTGTCGAGCCCAGCCACAGAGTGTGCATTTCTAGTAAGTCATGGGTGGTGCTGCTGCTGCTGCTGCTGGTCTGAGGATCACACTTGGAGAACCAGTGCTCGAAGGAGTTTTGTGTTTAAGAGCCATAGAAGGAGCCACGGGACTTTCTAAGGACTGATGCAACTGGATTTGAAAAAATCACCCCAGCTGCTATGTGATGAGTGTCTGAGAGCCCACAAAAGTGGAGGCCACCAGGATGACGCCCAGGAGGTGGCTTCTACACGGTCTCCAAATAAGGAGGGGCGGGGAGAGTGTTACTTGGACCAGGGGCTGGCCATGAGGATAGAGAGAAGGGGGTGACTCCTGTAACACCATGGGAGAATGCAAGTGTTGATGGATTGAGTGTGAGAAAGGGATTCCCAGGCAGGACCCCTGCACTTGGTTTAATGAAATTCTTAATAATTTCTGAGCGAGGGGCCATGCATCTTCATTTTGCACTGGGCTTCGCAGGTCTCTGGTTTTTGCAATGCTGGAGTGACGCCTCTGGCTCATTTATCTCCCTGCCCCCACCCCCACCCCAATATTTGCAAAGGGAATTGGGCAGTGGGAACATGGAGGTAGGGGTCTGTCTCGCGTTCATCCTGTGAGACCCAGGAGCCCCTCTCTTCCATTTTGCCTTAAATCCCAGCCTCTTACAGTCATTTCTTGATGTATCACGGGCGCATCCTCCTGGAAGACCCCGTCGGGCTTCTGCTTCTCCAGGATCAGCCATTTAACAGCCCCGCAGAGGACCTGGGAGTCGATGGCAATGAGGTTGACAGCCAGAGAGAAGACCTTGACCACGTAGGCGGTCAGCCTGGGGGTGGGCACAGAGCGTAAGCCAATCGGCTCTGAGATCCAGAGACTGCCATGCCACCCAGCCAATGAGCAGGTGGGGAGGGACCAGGGCCTGGCCCAGTTTGCCTCCTTTGCTTTCCCAGGTCCCAGGACCCAGCTGTTGCGTGCGGTCCGTACTTAAGGATGCTAAATGACCGCTGGCCACTCAGCCAGCACCTGCCTGGACTCTGCAAGTCCAGGGCTGTTTGGGCAAGGCTGGCCTAGGCGACCATCCCTGGCCAGGGTCCAGGCCCTGCTGGGGGTTGAGGGTGGAGGGTCTGCACAGCCTGAGCTGGCTGTTGGGACTCACCAGGTGCTGGGTGCCCGGTTCAGGAAGGCCGCAAAGGCAGAGCTGGGTTGTCTGAAGGCCAGCTGCTGGGTGTACCCTGCAGGGAAGAGAGAGTAACCCCCAAAAGAGCCGAGGCTGAGCAGAGGGGGCACGCCAGAAAGGGCAGGGGTGGGGTGCAGAGAGGGGACAGGGGCTCAGGGTCGGGCAGGGATTCTGGGAGGAGGGGACCTTAAAGAGAGAAGGACTGAAAGGCGGTGGGGGATCAGAGCGAGGAGGGGGAAGAGTTCTCAGAGGACAAGGGATTCAGAGAGGGGAAGGATCTTGAGGGTGGGGGGCTTTCAGGGAGGGGAGGGGTCCCAGACATGGGGTGGAGTCTCAGGGAAGAGGCATGGCCTGGAGAGGACGTAGGGCCTCAGATGAAAGTGGCTGGGAGAGGAGGTGGGGCCTCACAGGAGGGTTTGGCCTTGAGAAGAGGTGGGGCCTCACAGGAGGGTTTGGTCTTGAGAAGAGGTGGGGCCTCAGGGGATGGGCTTGGTCTTGAAAAGAGGCAAGGTCTCATGAGCCTGGCCTGGGAGGAGGCAGGGCCTCAGAGGGCGTGGCCTTGAGAAGAGGTGGGGCCTCAAATGTGGGGCGTGGCTAGGAGAGGAGGAGGAGCCTCAGGGGAGGGCGTGGTCTTGAAATGAGGTGGGGTCTTAAGGGAGGAGGGCGCTTGGAAAGGGGTCTCTAGGGTCTCCAAGAGGGGCAGGGAGCCCACCCTTCTTGATGAGCTCCAAGGCCCCCTGCCGCTTCTCCGGGCCGAACTTCTCCCACTGTTCCGTTTCATCCAGGTAATGCACAGCGATGACTGTGGGCGTCATGGTGATCATGTTCTGTTCTCCGCAGCCCGAGGGGGTCACGATGAGGTGCTTCAGCCGTTCTGCATCGATGGCATCCTCTGTCATCTGGGCCACCGGGGTCCCTGCAGCAGGTGGGAAGAGGACGTCGCTCAAGCTGGGTAGGTGACCCACCCTGGGGTGGGGTAAAAAGGATTCCAGCCTCCCAACCAGCCAGGTCGAAGGGGTCAGGGACAGGAGAGTGCTGGGAGGATGTGACTGCGGGGAGGGGAGTCTGCATGGCTGAGTGGCTGTTCGGGGGTCTGCACTGTTCGGAGTGGGATGTGCTTCACACAGTCACCCTGGTCCCTGCGTCTCGTTTCACCAACAGTAAAATAATTCCAGTAACAATATTCAGGAATACTTATATCGCGCTTAATGTTACTTCCCAGATTGTTCTAAGAGAACACCATAGAGTCACTCATTTAATCGTCACACCAGGCTGGGCGTGGTGGCTCAAGTCTGTAATCCCAGCACTTTGGGAGGCCAGGTGGGTGGATCACCTGAGGTCAAGAG